TAAACTCAGACCGACAAGGAGAAGCACACTCTATAATAACAGTCACAATTCCAACATACAACTGAATGATAGCAAATAATTGACAATTTATTTGCCTTCAATCTTACAATATAAGATGGATGCACTTAACAATATAGTAAGAAATTACATTAAAGATACATCTCAATGCTTTAGACCTACCCTACACTTGCGTTACTCCATAACCAAGTTTCGGGGAACAGTTTTCTAACTGGGAGATTTGATGAATCCCTGGGTACGCCCATCGATTGCAGAAACATACCGGTATCCTCCTGTATCTCCTGCTCTGGCATGAAGTCTAATGATTGCACTGAACCCATGCTATAATTGGCTGTTACAGCGGGAGCTTGACTAAACGTATAAATTGAAGGACCTCCTGGAACACAATTTCATTTTTATTCCTATGTTTCAGTTTAACAAAAATTGGTCCGAAAAAAATATTTATTACTTGGGACTGTGCAAAAAAAGCGTACAATTGTGATATCCAGGTTATCAATTACCCAGCGTCAGGATTAGTATATAAATTAGATACATTTATTGATACATGTATTAATGAACCAATTAACTGTAGTAGGAGACATTTATGCTGTGCGCACGAAGTTCAACCATCATTTTGCTGATTTAATCATGCTTACATTATGCCAAATCCAATGTATGAACGTAAGAATAAAAGAAAACTTTAAATACGACACTAAGAATATGCACTCATATGTAAACCATAAATCAAAAGCAAAACATGCAAAACCCAAAGAAAGCTTATGTCAAACAAGAAACAGCACCATTTGGATTATTGGAGAAAAAGATAAAAACTTATCATCAATTTCAAATTTAAGATAAAATTTATAAAACTTGCAAGAAAGTGAAGATGTCGAGATAAAAATAATGACAGTTAACTTTAACTTATTTGAATTTTATGAACAGGAGAGTAATTATTTAAAGACTCACTTGGCTCTACATAGTTGTAGACTAAGGCATCAGTAAGAACCAAAATTCCATTGTTCTGTTACGAAGAAATTTATTTATTTATAAGAAAAATGAAGGAACATTTTTTGCAGTAAAATTCACACTATAAGATAAACAAATATTTATATCAGTTATGAAATAACCAACAGTATTCCTTTATCCAAAGAATTAGCTAAATTTATTTGCAACTTACAATACGTATGTGCTAATCATTCTAATTTTATAGCCTATAGTTCTTTGACTGTTATTTATTATAAATGATAAAGGCAAAGGTTTGATAACATACACGGAACATTTCTTCAGCATCCCACCCACCCGAGGGTCTCCAGTTTCCACCAGAGAAGGCATTATCGTAGCTGTTTAACTCGTCATTAACCTGCAGCATAACAATGAATAAAGTATCAGTATACTAGCATAAGTAAAACGAAAAGGTGCTGTCGATGATTCTGATAGTTTGTGTCGTTGTTATAAAGTTCAGCTTGACACTTTTGTTTTTTTTCAGAAAGGACTAAAAATTGATTTAATGATCTTGACTTCTTTTATGTCTTATTTACCCTGCTTTCTTTTACGTCGTTATCACTACGTAAAATCAGAACACTATTATCTACTGTCAACAAATGAACAGTGGAATCCGGATCCGCTTTGACGGATACAACCACTTCATTTCCTGGTCGTGTCGTCTGTACGTCAAAATTAATGTCGACCTGTACCGATAGAAGAAAAACAAGCATTACTTATTTTTTTTATTATGGAACACACAAATTTGAGCAAACATTCTATATTCTGAATGTTAAAATAACGTTTATTCTAGCTGATCACATTATATTATTGCTCTGAAAATTATTATGATATTTCAAAAATATCAAGAGATAATAAAATATCAAAGAAATTACAACCCAATAATATACCTTGTTTTTGAAGATTCCATCGATATTGAAGGTGAGAGCATCAGTGACGATTTCTCCGTCCTCTCTGACGTAATGAACGATAAGACGAGCTTTTGGAGCCATTTCTGTTTCTATGGATAAGTTAAATTTCTTAACCCCTGAAGTGGGCATGTCAATTTCTCCTGAAACTTCAACTTGCCCTTTTGAAATGACCTAAAATTGCAAGGTTTCAGCATATTTAATATATCAAATTTTCCAAAATTCTCTCACTATTTTCATTAATATGCGGATTATAGTTATAAATATCTTTTTTAAATGATTCATAAACGTTTTACTGAGTTAAGATAAGCAGTTTTAGCATAATGTTTTTATTTGCATGTAGTAAAATTGGAATTTCGTTGAAAGAAGAAATATTAATGCATCAAGAAACAGTCCATTATACGGAATTAGATAGTAACATTTTGTGAGTTATATGATTTCGGTTATCTCTTCGTTCTAAAAACGCCCCTTGGGGATCCGGGTTAGAATAGGTCCTCAGTATCCCCCCTTGTTTGTCGTAAAAGCCGACTTAATGGGGCGGTCCTTCGGATGAGACCGTATAAATAGAGGCCCCATGTCACAGCAGGTGTGGCACGATAAAGATCCCTCCCTGCTCAAAGGCCGTAAGTGCCGAGCATAAGCCTAAATTTGCAGCCCTTTTCTGGCATTGGTGACGTCTCCATATCAGTGAAATATTCTGGAGAGGGACGTTAAACAGTATACAATCAATCAATCAATCAATCGTTCTTAAAACAAGATATATACGAGGGTCATTCAAAAAATACGTAGACAATGTTCCTCATCATCACATTATTTTTACAAAGTTTAATATCAGTACATTTTTATGTGTAAGAAGATATATTTTATAGATTTCCGAAGTTTCATTCTATTTGATTAAATGGAACTCATGATAGCCAATTTTAAAAGCAGCATGATTTGTCACCACGGAGCACGGTCAAAAACATTGTACATGTAACGTCAAAAACAACGTTAAAGAAAATTTCTCAAACTCACAGTGCCTTTTCATTTTATACACGGTTTGTATCGTATTCCTCATTCATTAAAACGTATCCATAACACTTGACATCTAGTATGCTAACAATAATTTGAGTATACCTTAAATAAGATTATCAATGTTTTCAAATCCTTTACCATGTAACTCTGCTCTTACAGGTTCCGCAACAGTGAAGCGCACATCACATTCATGACGTTACTAACTCTTTTGACAAGATTTTGAACTATAACCTGTTTCTTTGCAAAACGCCCATCGCCCAATTTAAAGTTTTTACCCCTCAAAAATTATCTGTTCCATTATAAACAAATTCACGGCTCATTTTATGTATTTTTCCTGGTTCCTCCAGCATTTTCGGAGTTTGTTTTAAAAGTTTCCAAATGCAAAACAAAATTATATTGCTACTCGCTGCTCCGTGACGTCCTTCGACGTCATGATTTTTTGCTTTTTTAATCAAGACTATCTGTCTATAGAAAATGATATCTTTTAAACAAAGCAATGTATTACATTAACTTTTAGCTTTTGAAGAAATGAAACAATACTAAATTTAAGTATTTAAATTTTATTTCAGTTAAAGACAATTTTAAAGAGGTGTGGCCATAGATATGAAAAGCGAATAATCATTCAATAACTCAATTTTGACCCTGCTCCGTGACCCCGTTTTTCCTGTCTTCAATCTTTGATAATTTTGACAAAAATCAAGATTTATTCCAATTTCTTTTCTCAAAATATTTGAATCTGTTGTAAATATATATGTACCAAATTTGGTTTAAATATGACGTTAAATAAAAAAGTTATGACAAAAGTCTACGAACTTTTTGAATGACCCTCGTATATAAATTTCTTTGAAACTCATGATTTGACAGCAGTTCACTTGTTTGGGCATGTAACATTTTAAGTGACTCACAATTCAAAAAGGAAATATATAAATCTACCTGGTAGTAAACTTTTGGAGTATGCTCAGTTGTTTTGATTTCAAACGTTGAAACAGATCCAGTCTAAAAAGCAGGAAAAAATATTCATTATAAAATATTTTGTGAATATGGCCCTTTTAACTTAGTAAACTACATACCAAATAATTTTGTATTACATTGTTGTTTTCATCATCAGTATTTTTTGATTGAAAAATACAACAAAATAACAATTCGAATGCAAAAAAAACAATAACTTAATAAGTTGTGTCCTCGCTTAAGGAAAAAAGTGGAGCATGCATGGGTTAAGAAGGGAGTACACTTTAGGAAGGTGAAAGCAGGGGATGTAAAGTAACATAATTAATTTCCTTATTCAATCTTTATCAACCATATCAATTAAGATTTACACAAATATCAAAATCAGTGAAAATACTTTTCCCAAAATACACAAATACATATAAGTTTACAGGTACAGCCATTAATAGAATGTATTTTTCCATCCAAAGAGGACTGCGTAATGTCAAATTAAATAAAAAAAAAACTACGTGTAACGAGACTTCCAAATTCGACCCAATGATAGACTATAAGTGTATCATAACGACCCTAGAATAAACGAAATCTTGCTTTAAAACAAGGTTACTGAAATCCCTAAAACGTCGACATTCAGTGGCCTGCCTCGTTTTAAAACTGATTGTACTCTGTACCTTTATGGAAAAAACAGTAATTGGTCACACTCCGTACCTTTGGTTTGACCTGTGGATTCAGTAGCGTCACCTGCATAAAGCTGTTACTGGGTGATTTATTTGGATAAAGAGGCCTAAGGTATGCAGAGCTTTTTTCATATACTGCCTACAAGTAATAAATTTAAAAAAAATGGAAGGTAAAAACGAATATGTGTCAACTTTATTATGAAAAGCTCTTTTTTGTTTGCATTAAAAGAAATTTCAGCCTTCGCTCACCTCCAGAAATGCCCGTCCGACATTCTCTGGGATTGTCATCTCGTATTTAAAGACTCCATCGGCATCAACATCGAGAAAGACGGGCTCCAGCTTTTCTTCTTTAAAGAGGGGCTGTCGGAAATGTCGTTCTCTGATTGGTGATATTATTGGTTCGTTGACTGGAAGACGACCAAATCTTGGTTCTGTTGGTGGCGGTATTTCTGTCGTGGTGGTGGAGGTGGTGGTTGACGGAAGTGGCAGGGTGTGGGTCATGGTTAGTTTGACCCTAGAGGCTGTCGGGAGGGAAACGGGGAGTCATCCTGACGGGTTACTTTTCCCTATTAAACAATAAAACGGATAACGGATAAAAAAAAACATTTTCAATCTGACAGCATGGTAACTTGATCACATTGCCCTTAGTTATTGCAAGTCTAACGTACAGTAAGCGAAGTTTTATACATATATATTTACATTTGCAAATGTTTTCCTTTATATAACACTACTGAAAGCAAGCGTTTTTATAACTGTATAAATACAGGTACGGGGTCAAGAGGTCATAGATGCGCGTATGGATAAACGTTCGACATAATTTCTCAGTGACGTCATAAAGGGTCGACGCACGTTTAGTGGATTACATACATGCCGTTGGGTTTGAAAAATAATGCATTTCACATGTTAAAAGTCACAATCAGGCAAATTTAAAGTATGAATAAGTCACAAATGTAAATATAAGTAAAAAGGAATCATCTTTTGAGTTTAATTGGGATGTAAAACAAGTTGCCACATGATCAAATCTTCCATAAAGCCCTTTATGTGACCAACCCGTTTTACATCCGAATAAAACTCAAAAAATGATACCTTATTTCTTAAGTATAGCGGTTATATGATCGTACTGAGCAAGATGTATTGAACATCTTCTTATGTTATTACTTAAGTATTTTAATTGACTTACCAGGACTGTATATTTAAGACCAGGTTTAAACGTCTTTGGCAGAGACTCGAGGAATTCAACTTTGTTTTCAAATGGATAGAATCTGACAGTTCCAGAAGCGTTCTGTCTAAGCCCAGTTATTGCCTCTGTGACGTTCACTTCAAACAACAGTTCTCCGTAGTCCAGCCTTTTATCAAGACTCCGAAGCTTAGAGTTCTCCACGTCAAACTTATATTCGCCATTTATCTGTAGAAATGAAAAATTTAGATATAGAAGTATTACTTCAATCTTTGTTCTAAAGAATATTTCATTATCATACATTATCATACATAAAACGTTCACACTGTATACAAAGTGCTAATCAAAAATCTACTTGATTTGGATCAATAGCTATATTGCTTTGGGTACTCTGATGCATTATGGGTAAAAAAGAAAATTCTGCAAGCAAAAATGGGTAAAAAGTAACCTTAAGAAATTAGAAAACTTATTTAACCTTTGTAGAATCAATGTAAATATATCTGAGGAAATTTTTAAGTTGAAACATGTTAGAAATTCAATACTGTTCTCATTTACTAAGTTAAAATGCTATTTTCACTCATTTTGAATTATTTCAATTGTTCTTAATTTTTTCAAAGTATATTCTGTTGTAAAAGTTATTGTATATAAGTTTTCTCCACAATTCACCCACGAAACATCACCTGATTTCTATACATTACGCTTTTTTTGAGAAATTGAGCTATTCTTGTTTTGAGTGAATGCTATTATATGTTTGCAACATATTTTTGCGATTGCTATACTTTTTTTCGGATCCTTTTTCTGATTTGCATGAAATCAAGATTTATTAATTTTTGATAAAATTATTGTGATTTTAACAGTTTTGAAAACATATTGGCATTCATAATTACAAGAGAAACATTTATCAGTCAAAAAAAGTTAAACAGAAATAAATAATTATAGAATTTGATGAAATGTGCAATCAATGCTGGTGTTTGTGCTATACTTGATTTGCATTTTGTCGCGATTGATACAGAAATGCTATGTTTGATTTGCATAGAATAATTCTTGAAGAATGGTGGCTTATATAGGGGAGGGGGGATATAATCCAAAGACACTTTCTCACATTTAAGTCTTTAAATAACTTACAATGTATTGATAAATACACGTTATATATTTTCACTAATGTTTTAAAGGTATGTAAAAAGGAAAATAAAGGCTTCACAAACTACTAGTATTCGTACTCTCTCCAAAGCTCATGATAGGCGTGAGACTGAATGCGTTAACCACTATACGCTACGGTGTCTTCTTGTTGGTTGTGTGTCAGTTTGCTTTAAAAAAAAATGAATTGTTGAGACAAAAAATATTTTTCCACCTATTATTTAATTTATCTTGGTTCGTTTGTTTTTTTTTTGGCTTGCTTCTTTCACCCAACTGTTAGACCTTTGTTTTTATATTAAATTTGTTCACGAAATGCTCCGTTTACTTGATCAATACATAGGGCTCACAGCGAGTGTAACCGATCAACAAGGGATGCTTACTCCTCCTAGCCGTCTGTTCCCATTTCTGGTATTCCGGGGGGTCCGTATTTATTCCCTGCTCACATATTTGTATTTGTAAATTTTTCGACATAAATCAATGCTCGTTATCCTAACTTTTTTAACATTCCAGAAATATTCGACTTTTAAATAGAATGGATCCAGACCTTATTTAAAAAAAACACAGTGGGTTTACTTTTCCGTAATATAAGCACAAAACTTAGGATAGAAACCTGACCCATTCATATTCAGAAATAAATTCTTATGGCTGGAATCGTTTAATATTAACGTAGTACACCCATTTACCACTAAATAAGTTTAAAAAACAATTTTCAATCAACATTTCTTACAGTACAATACTATTATATGAATCAAATATGTTGAAGATGACATTACCGACAACATAATTGTAGAAAAATCAAACTTTTTCGTCATAGAGTGGGTGATTGTCCTCGCCTTATACACTTTCTCTCTCTCTTTTATAAATCTATGATAAAGAGATTATAATGCAACTTTAGTAATATTTCACCTATTTTCACACTATCATCAGATATCAGAACTTAAAGCTAAGAATCTGAAAGAGTCTATGAAAATTAAAGAAATTCAAAAAATATATAGTTACGAAAATTAATTGATTATCAGGGATATGCTTTTATTTTTATGAAAAAAAGATCCATGCATTTCTTCGAGAGATGTGGTACCCGTTTGTTTTCTTTTTATTTCATGAAAACATTTTTAATATCCCATGCAATCTCTTCTTAACGCTTATTTGGCTGAATTGAAATTTGTAAATGAACGAAGCGGCATTAAGATTTGAAGCTGAATGCGTTTTAATCATTGTGTTTTCTTATCAAAACTTTGAATGCATATATATACCACTAAATATTTACAAAACTATGTGTATATATCAAGTCAAAGAGTTGAAATCGATCTTTAAAATTGTTTAAGATTTTACAATTTGGTAAGCGGCATTAACGTTTTTTCTTTGGTATGTTTTTGTTAATGAATGACTGTCATAAGTGGATGGAAAAAATGAGAATACCGGTATATATGGAAGAATGTAGCTTGTCCACCAATTAAGCCGACCCCTTCCCCAACCATAAAGTAGGGTTTTTGTGTCAGGATCTTTGAATGCTATGGACAACAATGTAATCCCCTCCCCTTCCCAAAGAAATTTATGCTGGATCCATCCTTTATTCCGGAATTTAAAACAAATGGAACTAAACATATTGATTAACGAAATAAAAACGTCATTAGAGTTGTTTCCATTAGAAAATAAAAACATACTTTCACGAAAGGCCACACTGCTTTTTCTATAATTTATACAAATACATATGTATTACACTCACTGACTGAGCATAAAACGCTCAAGGTGAGCATATGACACATGGACCTCCTATGGACTGGGCCAAATTTGAAATGTAAGAGGAGTCTGGGGAAGAAAATATTGTACAAGACTGTTGTAAACACAAGGTAACGTCAATAAATTATTTCACTAATTGCACTAGGCCTAATTGCTATATGTATACTCGAAAAAAGTATAGCTGTCATGACAACAAAGATAGCTTTCTGGATATTTTCTACGCAAACCAAAAATAGCTCCGGAAAAGTTGGGTAGGTGCATATTTGATGTGATTGTCAAGATATAACGAAGACCTTGTGGTCAAATTTGATAGCTAACGTTTGACTAGGATTTATATTAAACAAAACAATAAATGTTTTATTGAAGTAATGTCAAGAGTCCATTCAAGTGGCTAATTAGTCGAAAAATGACCATCAGATGCGTGAAAAACGCGTGCTACCGATGTTTAAGGAAGGGTGGGTGACACAAAAACCTAATAATCTTTAAATATACCAAGAAGAAGTCTCTTATTGGTTGAAGTAGTTTTATTTTTAGTAAAAAACCGTATATAAAAGACATTTTTTTGTCTAAATGTGCAGACAGAAACTTCGAATGATATAGCTAGTGATCCAAATCAAGTAGATTTTCGATTAGCACTTTGTACACAGTAGTTCAGACCAGTTGTCTTGATAAGAATTTAAGTTTACCGGTACGGCAAGAAAATAAAATTTACTTTTTTTTAAACTTAATTTTTAATTTAAACTTTAATTCTCATACTGGTATGCAGTATAAGAATTAAAGTTTACTGGTGCAGTAGGAACATTTAAGTAAACCGGTGCAGTATGCAGTATAAGAATTTAAGTTCACCGGTGCGGTATGCAGTGCGGTATGCAGAATAATAATTTAAGCTTACCGGTGCTGTATGCTGTATAATTTTTTAAGCTTACCGGTGCGGGTATGCAATATAATTATTTAAGCTTACCGGTGCGGTATGAGAAATTTCGTTCACGAGACCATGTTTCTTCCTGTTCTTGATGAACCACGGACTAGTTCTTCTGCGGAAGGGCCGGATGATCCTAATGTCAACTTGTCCCTTCACGGGCTTACCAAATGTATACCTGTAATTGAAATACGAAAATGTCTAGTTCAGTGATGAAATAAATATATGTGAAGATGAAAATTTACTTAAGCCAAGATTTTGTTTATAATTTATATTATTTATAATAAAATTGTTAAAAATATGTGATTAATATGTTGACTTGTATAGCTTTGCGATATGTGCTTACTTGGAGATGACTTTAATGCCAGTCAGATTTCTGTTGCTCAGTCCATATGGAGGAAGATCCAAGGTTACGTCAAACTTTGGCAATACTGAAAAAATTCATATTTGTAATTAACCTAGAAGATTGCCATATTGGGTTTCTTGACAAATATACCTTTAGATTGATTGATTGTGTACTGTTTAACGTCCCTCTCTAGAATTGTTCACTCATACAGGAACGCCACCACTTGCCGGTGGGGAGCTGCAAATTTTGTCCACAGTGGGATTCGAACCCGCGACGTAAGGATCAAGTCTTTACTTCGTTACTCTAGAGCAGACACACTAATTACTTAGACACGCGGGCGACAAAAACTCTGTAGAAGACAATAAACTGAAAACAAAATTTAGCAATCCTGGAAAATGAATGGAAAAATATTTACCATACTCATCTGCAGTTACTGTCTTTGTGTGGGCTTCATTCTGGAGTGAGAAGAAAATATGGTCCATAAATTATCAAATTTACAACCAAACAAGACCTAAATTTAAAAAAGGGGGCCGACTATAGTTTCCATTGCGCAATATTTCGCGCATCATAGTAAAATGAAGTGTATTTACTGTTTTAATGCAACTTTTTTCGCTTAATTATTATAATCAAACAAAATTAAGAAATTATAGGTATCAAAATGTAATTACAATTTGATATAACTGATTTTTTTTTTAACCATTTTGCAATTGATAGGTAGGTTGACGTCGTTGCAATGTGTTTTTGACGTTATGATAATCTGTAGTTCTTGAAGAAAGGGGTAATAAAAATATTATTAAAGTAAAAGTAATAAACATACGCTCTTGAAATTTAAAACATAGAAATTTGAGAATATCTCCAATATTTTTGTTATGTTTTCACGTGAATCCATTTTGAACGTCATATTTTGAAACACTCTATAAAAATAGTAAAATTTGCTAATTTTTTGCATTTTGAGATGCCCCGTCTAGTAACAAGACGGTAGAATTTTGTGTTTCTTACATATATTGTATAATATAGTATTAATCATCAAATATTTAATATTTTATCAAATAGTTTGAACAAAATCTCTATTGTAGTATTTGTATAATTTGCTTTAAATTGCTAAAAAATGACATTTTTCTATATAATCCTTAGTAAATGTACCTATATAATTTGAGACGGTCCCTCAAACATACCTGGACGGTAGATTTCCCCTAAACTTTGCATGTACACTGAAGTTAATGTAAGCTATATATGGAATAAAAATGAAGAGTTTTCCTATTGTAGTTTTCACACAATAAAACTATAGTCGGCCCCCTTGATTAAAAAAGTTAAAATTAAAAATACATATACTATTATAAATAATTTGAAGATGCAATCAAATATTAATATTTAGTGTAATTTTCTGTATGTAATGCATTAGAGATCCACGACATTCAAATCTCAATAACACACGTTAAACCTTCTCACCGCGTGGTAGAATACACAGTAGGAACTATATGCCAAATTGTACAATGTTTTGACTTAATTTAACTAAAAACTATAATACTGTCAAATTAGCTTTAAAATACTACACATGTGCGCTTGAAATTAATTTGTCATATTCCCCTCGCAATATTTGTTAGTGTAATTTAACTTTGCAACGTCATTTGACGTCATAAACGGCTCTTACATCTATTAAGCACGCCTAGGTTTGAAGGGCGCTAAATTCACATTAAAGATTAACGAAAAAGCAATCATGAAGAAAGAAAAGCAGAGAATGTAAATATTAGCATTGAATTAATATTTTTGGATGTCTTCGGTCCTTTAACACAACTAGCCATGCGGACAAATTGAATACCGCGCTTTAGCTTTTTTTTTCTTTTTAAAAAATTAAAAAGATAAACACAAAATAGAAGAGGAAGCTCATGTTTATTTAAAACAAGAAAAACATGGAAAAACTTAGAAATCTGTATTACCCCTTGCACAGCCTTTATCTTCCACTCCCCGAGTACAGGATGCTCCGACATGACTAAACTGTCTGTAAACACTCCATTATCAGGAACCTTATTATTCCACTGAGCGATTTTATTTCCAAGAGGGTCCTTTTAAGAAATAAGAGAACTTGTTCAATAAATCCCACGACTTTCTCTTATTACGTGTCTCTAATTCAAAACCAATCAAATGAGCAAATAAAATTCACAAGAGGCTACGTACGTGTATTTCAACATCAATGTTTTGATTTACAACGGATAAGTCTGGGTATATTCCAAAGACACGGAAATGAACTAGAAAAAAAAACACACAAAAAAAAGTTAGAATCAGAGAAATAATTCTTGAATATGGACATGACGACAGTTCAGTGGCCCATGGTTTTGGATACCAATGACGTTAACGTTACACGTATGTAATAAATTATTTAATGAAAACACAGAAACAGATAAATAATCATGATAGAAGAGAACTCTGGTCTTAAATTATTATAGATACCATCTGAAGAATCAAATTTTAAGTGTAAAGGTGGGTATCTATGTGAGGATGAGAGTGTATGTACGTGAGTTATGACACTCATCTTAAATAACAGAATATTACACATGGATTTTGATTCTGGTACAAAATTGATTTTGCTGTGAAGAGGAATTCTGAAGCAATAAAATGCTTACTTGTTTGACCAGGTTTGTAGATTGCTTTGTCCGTTTGGATCATCACAGAGGAGAATTTAGGATTGATTTCTAGCATTCTGAAGTTACTGAAGTTGACACCTCCCTCTCCCTGAATAACAATGACATACTTTTCTCCAGAGGATAAAGTGGAGGGCATCTGTTTTACAAAAGCAAAATTACTTTAGCTCAAGGAACATCTTATCAATTTTTTGAAGCAAATATGTAGAAGTCAAGTTTTATAATGGTTTCGGAAATTTATCACCAATATTATCTAATGAACTTTTACTTGTTTTGATTTTTTTTATATTTTATACGTTTTATGCATGAAATCTTGACTTTTAGAAGGAGTAATAATGAGAAATATATCATGTATCATTTCAGCAAAATGAAACTTACCATTAAAGGAATTGTAAGCATTGTTGGATTTCCGGGATCTTCAAGAGAAAATATAGTTTTTTTATGATGATACAATAAAGAGATAACGTATTTAGTAATAAAAAAAACACATCACATGTTAAGCTTACTGGACGTTTTGTTGAACATTTCTGTGGTTAATTGTGATTCTTCAATAATTTTAGAAAGTATTTTATATTTAAAAGTATTATCTAGAAATAACAATACTATATTTTTAAAGAAAAGTGCAGAAGTCAATATGATCCCTACATCTGATAAAAGAAAAAATCAATCTATACAAATGTCATAAAACTAAGTGGATGTAAATTATCGAATTTTTCAAATCAGTAAAATAATCTTTTGCTAAGTTCCAGTATATAGGAGTTAATATAAAACCTGCTAACATGAATAATTACTGTGGTCATCATGTTTAGGATTTAAAGTTTCTTATTCTGGTATTCTGCATTCTTTTTTTCATTTCAGACAAGAATATACGTAAAGCCTACTAATTCTATTATCTATCTGTAGTTCTCATTTCGGACACGACTATAGGTACAGTCAACTAATTCTAATATCTACCTGTTGTCCTCATTTCGGACACGACAGTACGTAAAGTCTACAAATTCCAATTTGTTTCGTTTCTGTGATCCTCGTTTCGGACATGACAATACGTTTTGTCTACTTATTCTGATATCTACCTGTGGCCCTCATTTTGGACACAACAGTACGTTGCCTACTTATTCCTATATCTACTGTGGTCCTCATTTCAGACAGGACTATAGATGAAGTCTACTTATTCTGATACCTACCTGTGACCCCAATTTCGGACACGACAATACGTGAAGTGTACTATATCTTCCTATGATCCTCATTTTGGACACAACAGTACGTTAAGTCTTCTTATTCTGATATCTACCTGTTGTCCTCATTTCGGACAGGACAGTACATGAATTCTACTAATCAAGGTCTTTCGTTCTACTGATTCTGTTGGAAAAGAATATTATTAAGGTCTTTCGTTTCCAACAGAAGACCTTCTACTCTATTCTGTTGGTAAAGATTATTAAAGTCTTCCGCTCAGGCGGAAGACTTTTTGCAGAATCTGATGGAAAAATTCTCTTCTGCTTTCGAGTTATTCCCTTAAGGTGTCCGACCCATATTAGGACCAAAATTTCTAACCTTAAATATCAATTGTTTGTAAAATATCCTGATATTATTTTAGAGCATTTTAGAGTAGAAAGGGATTAACCAAGAGAAAATTTCAAAAATTTTATTACCTTAGCATAAATTAATTATTGAAGATTGCATTGAAGTCTATGGAGGGAAGTAAGTTTTTTAATATAAAAAACAAAATACTTCAAATATCAAAATATGCTGTGGTGGAAAGATGTATTTGACCATGGGGAATAGAAAAACAATTAGAAAAAAATTTTTTACCAGACAGATTTTTTTCAAATTAATTTTTATTTAGTAAAATCAAAGGGAGATAACTCGTCAATTGCAGGAAGAGGTAATAAATTAGGACATGTCCTACTCTTCCATTCTGATACTAAAAGATGAAAATTAGTTCTAACTACACTTAGTATTCAGCCCTTACATATCTATTATGCATTCAATTTCATTCAATCTGAGGCTAATGTGGATCGGATACCTTAAAATGAAAAGTTGGTACTGTTCGTTTCCAGATAAAGGCTCAGGAACGACAAAAGCTGGAGAAGAAATTCTACTGAATTTAAATACTAGAAGACTTGAAGCACATCGGTTTTTCTTTTTCGATTTCACTCAACACGGTGCTAGATAGGGCTCAAAAATGAGAATGCCTTAAAGCGCAAAAATTTACATATATTTCCTTATGCATCTTTTAAACTAAAAATAATTTGTTCAGCCATGTTGAATTAATGTTGTGCATGATTTTAAGATCTATCATTTGACATCATTAAAAAGGGGCTGGCCCCTAATATTAGGGATGTAGGGCCCTTGAAAGTTTTTTGCTTTATAACTCAAAGACGGTATTTTTTCGATATCGTTATTGATATGAAATAGGTTCTTTCACATCTTATTGATCTAATGAAAACATTATTTTGTTCGAACCATGTGTTATTAACTGAGCATAAAAAATTATAGTCTATATACAGGTGAGTGATTTTATACGGCAAGTGAAGAAGAATTCTTTACGTGTACGCGTAGAAAATGTATGAGGCCTCATATCTCTCTCATTTCTCAATGGATTTTGCTCAAAATTTCAGAGTTTATAGACGTTATTAAACTTTATCAGAATTCTTCCTAACATTTCAAAAATTCTCTTCCGCTTTTGAGTTATTCCCCTTTAATCAAAAATTTATACCTTTCATTTCCAGACAAAGGCTCAGAAAGGGCAAAAGCTGGAACAGAAATTCTACCGATTTTAGATAATAGAAGGATTGAAGTTGTACACATTGGTTTTTGTTTTCCGATTTCTCTATTCAAAATGGTAGTCAAAAATTATAACGTCAAAAAGAGAGAAAAAAACTGTATGCAGTATATTGCATATATTTGCCCCCACAAAAGTCAAATTTTGAAAACTTCCTGAAATGTGCTGAATTCAATAAATTATATGAGAAATATAAATTAACAGAAAATATTATAGTGTCAAAGCAGTGTATTCACAATTTTTAGCCGGGCTTATTGCTCAAAGAGCAATTGCCGGCTTATGTGATCCTGTTCAAGGCAGGATGTTGACCCCATAGTCGCCATTTTAAAGTTACGTGCAAAAATATAGTTCTTACTCTCAACCGCTTTTGAGATAATACAAACGCTAAATAAAGCAATAAAAATAAAACGAAATTTTATCTATATAAAATAAACATTAGTACTAATGACTTTGAAAACTTCATAAGTCAAAGAACATAGTTCATTAGCGTAAGGATTTTTGATAATCAGTGTTACCATAGTTCTCTACACATACGAGGTAAAGCAGGAAAGGGAACCAGACTGGCCTGTTTGTTTACATTCAGCTGCGGTACCAGATTAATTCTGATTCTGACAAAATCGGACCGTGGTATTAGGATTAAAAAACTCACTGTCAGTGTCTTATCATTTATACTGATAGTTTTAAAATAATTTTTTCATTAGAATATAAACATGATTCATGTAAGAAATCCATTCTACTCTGTAAATGAGCCCGGCTCTCTGTACTTCTGAGTACTTTGATTGTTTTTATGACGTCACAGACTAGTCCGATTTTATATCCTTTTTTCAGAAAGAGGACAAAATGGACAAAATTTCAACAATTTTAGCTTTAAAATTTATAGAGCGCAAGTTTGTTCAGGAACAATATTGACATATTTCATTGATATTTTCATTCTACACATTATATCAAAATATTGATCCTGAACACAGATGCGCTCGGTGATTTTTACTCAAAATATCGACGAAGTATGTACATTTTTCTGTAAAATTCATTAAAAAAACTGAATTTTACGTCATGTTTGTGACGTCATTACGTACATATGGCGTCATTACTTATGAAAATATTCAGTGTTTTGAAGTCAGCATATATCCCCCTGTTTAAGAACTTAATTAAATATATCTCCATCAAAGTTTGATTCTGCTATAAAAAAAAAATGTTACCCTACAAAACAGGCACCATCTATTTTATTATACTGAATGTCTTATTGATTTAGGACGTCAGCAAAAATATAATAAAATATACATAAATTAATCTTAAAGATTCTACCCTTGGGAGGTAGATTAGAGTTTCGTTATTAAAAAAAATAGGGATATCACGGCTGGAACTTGTTTTTGATTTGTACAGATGATTCTATCATTGGAAAGGTACACATGTAGTACGAACGATTTTCTTAGGTCCTATCCCCCTCTCCACTTCGAAATAAATGCAATCGCTACATGCATACGGGCCTATATCAAACTATTCTAATTGCTTTATATCAGAGTAATTTGCGATGCTGTTTAAATTAGCAAATACAAATAAGCATGACAAATGCACACAGTAAACTGTAATTGAAAGTGATGTTTCAAATTCTCATGAAAATCGAAAAATAAATGAAGCAGCTTAGTTTGAGAATTGCATTATTTGCTACAGAACTTTTATTGTACAGAATGATATGCTTATGTATTTTTTTTATTTCCTCGAATAAAGAAGAATATCACAATGACACGATTTTACGGGTACATAATTGTAATTAAGTACATGCAGATTTACATGAAAAAAATTAATAATAAGACATTTTTCTAACAAATGCAAAACTGCATCTGAGAAAGCCGTGCTGTTGCAAGCCATTCTTTCGTGTTTAATTAGTGGACTGAGAGATGTTTTAATTTCCTTTCATCGCGATACGTAACCCCCCTCCCCATTCCCTAAAATGGTACAATGTAATCCTTCAGAGACGAGAATGTCAATTGGTAAGTTTGTTTAAACACGAGGAAATTTACATATCTACCGGAAATGGCGCGGACATTTTTGTCGTGCTAGAATGAATGGCCAATTCATTACCGAAACGAACCTGCTTGGATTTTCGGAGTGACACCTGATGAGAGTTCCCTTACAAAATTCTGGCATTTTAGCCGACGATTTTTAAGACTTTTGGCATCTCTTAAAAAATGTAACCATGCTATATCACAAATCAAAATTTCGAAATTCAATTTGGCTTAACTCTTACCTGGTCATTTTCTTTTTTAAATTTCTGATTTTTGTTCACATATACACACACACAAATTCAAATAATCTGTTGATATTCAAACAATGAAAGTACTTATCTGTTTGCTAATTATTATGTTTAATGCCTAGGTTAGTATTCTTGTTTGTTTATAACTTTGTATAGTGTTGTTGGTAATTTCAAAACAATATCTAAAATTCAAATTTTTAATCGGCGTAAGAAGTAATTTTTTAACGATATTACAAGCTAGAAAAACAATATAGCAAAACTAATTTATTATTTAACCCCTTCCCCAACCCCTTACAATCATTTTTAAACTGAATTTTAATACACATACACATCTTCCAAATAAATATTTAACCCAACTCTCATTTTAATTTATAACTAAATCTATAATTTATGCCCAGCATTTATTAACAAAATCACCCTCTTTTTTGGAGCTATATATATTTGCAATTTTCCTCACCTCATCATTATTTTTGTTTATATTACGTTGACATTTAACTCCATGTATGGTCGGCCACCAAAAATGATTGCTTCAGTCTGACTGAGTTCCACGGTGGATATTTATTTATATTATTTATTATTTATTTATTTTAAAAAAAATAATTAGTAGATGTGTACACGATGTATGATCATATAGATGTCTACACGATCATACAGAGGCCTGTTCTTTTTAGAACAGAGATTTTGAGGCTGAAAGCACTAGGTGAAAAAATAAGAATAATAAAATTTCTTAGCACCAATGACTTATAAATAATAGTTAAATTCATCGAGATATGTATACAGATAAAATAAAAAGACGTTCATTGTAATCTAACGATCACGCTAAATGATAAACGTGACTCTTCAATCGTCAACTGCCTTACTTATGCAGCAATATACCTTCATCACCTGCACACACGGAGTGTATATATCTCGGTTGATTCGATACAAGAGCATGCTCTAAGTATGAACAATTTCTAAAACGAGATAAATTATTGACAAGCAAGTTGAAACAAAAATATCGACAGTTTCGTTTAAAGTCATCATTTCGTAAGTTCTATGGTCGATTACTGTTCGTTATATCCATATCCTTCTTCTATGGTCGATACAATGACCTTGAAAATTTTTAGAATTTTTTAGTACCCATATCTTATTCACACCACTTCTTGAATATATAGTTGCACAGTATTCTTGAAGTTTTTCCTTCACTACTGTCAATAACTTAGTGAGGAGTAACGAAAGATGCTTGGTTGAACATTTACTGGAACCTGCATGTATCTTTGTTTGTAAGGATTCTTATGAAGTTTTGAAATCCAATATATCTAAGGTAGTTCAAATTCATTTTGGCTTTGTGGAATATTGAAAGTATTGAAAACTGACAGACGATTTTGAAGAATTTCTTTTTTAGAAAGGGAAGTATGAATATAAGTAGGATTACCTTTGTAGAATTAAATCCAAGTTCTTCTAGAATTCAATTTATATAATGAGCCTTACAAACGAAGACAATGTTGTCAGCTTCTTTGTCAGCAGGAACCAGTACGTACTGATCGTGTAATCTATCTAACTCCTTTTTCACTTCTATTGAACGCAGAAGGATATATGGTTTTCATATTGCCCCTCAATCTTTTAATACGTGACTTTAACATGGATCTGATACATTTAATCCATTCTCACAAGGTGTCAATGTCTTCTTTTTCATATTTTGCCCATCGTCTTGCGTAATTTTCTACAGAATCCATAATATTTATGAAATTTCGACGCCAGTTCAAGGATCGGGGTTCCCTATATTTAGGACCTTTTTAAATAAGTGATCTAAGGTTCTCATTACGAACTATATTTACGTCATCTGTAATAACGTGTCCACCAGGGCTATAGTTATAGGGCGATGAAGAACATAAACACGAAGGAGGATTATGTTTCAGATAGTCGGTATCCAGGTGTAAAGTGTGTTTGTAATTGAAAAATTTGGAGGCAATGTTCGATGTATATTTGTAGGAAATACAAGGTGTAGTCTTTAACTTGAAATATGGTGGAATGCAAGACTGGACCCTTTGTGATTAAGAATATTACTTATATTAAGCGCGTCAATTCCTTTATTGGCATATTGAAGTTTAAGGAAAAGACGGATTGTTTTAGGCGCATTTTCTTCCGTGAAGCGTGCGGGTTTAAAGAGCCTATGATATGCAATATCCATAATCACAGATCTGAGTCCATATTTAGGTGATGAGGATCCAAAATTGGATGTTCCTTGGCCTTTTCAAGAAAACTATTTAAAAGTTTCAAAGGAACAAAGTAAAGTTTTGTTCGAATATGATGTAGACCTAACTGTTGATTTACATAAGGTAGTAATGAATCAAAAGAGACGTCGTGTATTGCAGGTTTATTGTACGAACGATGCCCATGACTACGCTTACGTCTCTGAGTATGGTTAAAAAGTCCCATCACATTTACATTATTACACTGCGGACTGGAAAGATTTCCAACACTATCGACATTGTCATTAAATCCATAGGGAAAGGCTGTCCCTAATTTTCTGATCCAAATTTCTTCTCGTTGTCCACACAGATTACATTCTATTCCATAGACAACATTAGAAGATTTGCAGTTAAGATTTTCCCAAGTTTTGGTATAGAAGGTCTTTCCAGTAAGATTACTGGTGAAAAAAATGTCAGTCATCAAAATGTCACAGGTTTTACAGTTTCGCACAGAACATTTTGAAACAGAAGACATTGGATCGGAAAAGGAATTATCCAATATATCTGTAATAGAAACCTTACATTCTTTCAGTTTCGTGTATGATGTACTGGTTTTATACCAAAACTGGGAATCTGAAGACTGTACATATGACATATATTTAATACTCCTGAGGATTATCCGAGGGGCACCAAATGAACTCCTTGAGTCTGTGTCCCTTATAGACCCAAAGGAGTTACGCCTTTTTATACTGGGCGATGCGCCTGTCAGTATCAGTAACGGAAAAAATCCGAAATAAGTTTCAAAGGGACAGAGTAAAATTTTGTTCGAATATGATGTAGACCTAACTGTTGATTTACATAAGGTAGTAATGAATCAAAAGAGACGTCATGTAGGAAGGACTGATAAGCAATATTTTAGTGTTATCAGGGTCATTAATTATTGTTATCTACCTCTCTGATCGTCAATTTTAATTTTTCTTGATCTGAATGTCAGTCAAAGTATAGAAACCGTCTATTCCAGAGATTAATTTCGATATTTTAATGAATTGCATATATAAGAGATGGGTACATAGTTTATAAGTATCAAATGCATTGTCAAAGACAAATATTAATCTTTTTTTATTTAGAAAGAAAATAATAAAAATTCCTGAACAATATCATAACAACAGACAAGATTACACACTCCTTTGATTCGGAAGGAAAATTAAAATCAAGGTTTGATAAACACCAATACATCGCCTCCTAAAAGGGAGAGTCCTCAATTCACAAGTAAAGTCATGAGCATATTTTTCGAGATAGTCTTATTCATTTATACAGTCTGTTTTAAATCTAACCTTCCACTGGTCTCTTTATTGTGATGGTTCTCTTCCAATCAAAGTTAAAAGAAACAAATGAAGGTTGTTTTTAATCAGACTGTATTTTACCCTTTAAAAAGTTGATTTTTAATCCGTGCCTAATTTTGCATTACGTAGTGATGTTAGTGATATTTGTTTCCTTTTACAATATTTACTTCATACCCGTCTTCCTCCTTTCAGATACGAGAGTGGTGTTGCTTCTGTCCAGTAGACTGACCACCACCGTGGTTCCGGGGCCACCACCCGGGACGTTCAGAAGCTGGACATTTACCCGTACTCTAAGGTTTGGGCGAACCATCCTTGGGAGCATAACAAGGTATGAACTGAAAGATACAAAGTATCATTAAACTGAATTCGCATCGCTAGCTTGGTCTCTATCTAGTACATATTTAGTTTTTATATGATTGAATAATTTCCATCTCTCTGATTGGCTGAGATTCAACTATATTAGAAAAACGTTGACCTGCACGTGACGTTCCAGGTGAATACAAGGATTTATTTCCTTTATATGATCTTAAATAGGTCGGGAAATTCCAAATTGATACAAAATGTTTTGGAAAGTTATTTAAACGACTATGACTTTTTTCATGTGAACAAAACATAAGCGAATTTATATATTCGGGTGACGTCGTAAGAGGGGATGCAAAAACACCCCTTCGAGACTTATTGAACAACAATATAACATTTAAAAATTTCGTCCCGATGAAAAATCGTCCGGATACTGAAGCATCGGGATATCTGGGGTCCGGATATCTGTATATTTTTTTTCATGGCAACTAAAATTGATATAAAACATTTCAAATTGATGTGACTTGTAAGTTTTATTTATATTTTAATTCTGCTTCTATCTTGTATTTGGCTAGGGCTTCATTAAATGCAAACAAGTAATGAGCTGTATCATTTTATCAGAGAATCATATAATAAAACAATTATTGCTTTTTTCGGTCATTACAATGATTTAGCCTTCGGGCTCGGTGAATATTGTACTCTTCAGATGGCTAAATCATTGTATTGACCTAAGAAATTAGCAATTATTTTATAGTAGTGAATTCTAACTCTTACAGATTTTTCCTTTATACTTACTGTATATCACGTGTATGAAACATAATTTAATGTACAATACACCATTCATAAACACGGTTATTTTTGGTTAATCTATAAGTCCCGTTGAGTATATGTAGCAATTAAGATTAGAAATGATGATTACTTGTTTTGGTTAATCTATAAGTCCCGTTGAGTATATGTAGCAATTAAGATTAGAAATGATGATTACTTGTTTTGGTTAATCTATAAGTCCCGTTGAGTATATGTAGCAATTAAGATTAGAAATGGTGATTACTTGTTTTGGTTAATCTATAAGTCCCGTTGAGTATATGTAGCAATTAAGTCCCGTTGAGTATATGTAGTAATTCAAGTATATGATGAAAAGGTCAAACAAAGTATGCATATTAGATTTTTTTTGCATCTTGATTTAGTTACATTTTCTCAAACTGAATTTAAGAATAGGATTTACGAAGATATTTATTTTAAATTCAAAATTTACAAAAACCTTTTTAAACCAATGGACACCCTTTTAGTTTGGAGAGTGAACATAATTGGTTTGTTACATTTTGAATGAGAGAAAATATTAACAAGCTGCCCAACACTATGATAGTAAAAAAAAGTAAAGTTTTTAACTCATTTGACCTGAGATACAATATACTTTAGTAATTAACCATTTACTTACTTTTTAGAAAGGGAAGATGAGATCCATGTTAATAAAACAAAAAGGAAAACTCGCAGTTTGTCCATGTCTTGAAATAAACAATTAACACATACTGGTAGGAGCAAATTAAACTCAGACTAAAACATGAATTAGTGAACTTTAAGTTTTATATTGAGAAAACCTTGGAAACTACTGGATTATATTGCCCGGTCTTAATTATAAACAGATGTACAGGATTTCAATCTTAATTTAGTCAATGGAAAAACCAGCGTGACAATGTTTAATGCAAAAGTTATATTTTTATTCCTCGTGAATTATTTAATTCCTAGCGACAATCTCAATGTTTGTGAAGAAAAATGCAGTAATACATTTATGAAAATAAAATTGCTTTATAACCATCATATTTATCACCGACACCTTTGATATATTTAATATGAATATTAAAGTTACACAGAGTGTTTCTTTAATAAGATAACTGTAGCGTACAGAGAAAGACCTATGAAAATTATGAGCATTTAACGAAGATATGACAATTAAACTGCACTGCTAAGCAAGAAAAGACTGCACAATAAAAATGTCGGAAATGCAATGGTTGCATCTACCGTTTCGTTGTTCTCACTCGTGTATGTCAATGTAATGCCACTTCGGAAATGGGTCTGTCTCCTAGTTGATTAGACAGACATCCCGTATTATACAGCAATATACCTCCTTCACCTGCATACGGGGTTTATATCTCTCAACTGACTCGACAACTGACTTGACTTAACAAGAGCATGCCACACGTGTGAGCAATTTTTCAAACGAGGCAAGTTTTTGACAAACAAGTTGCTGAAACAAGAATATTTGCAGTTTTGTTTAATTTCATCATTTCCTAAGTTCTAATCCCGATGCAATGACCTGTCAACAAATACAAAAAAATATCATTGAGTCAAATGCTGACCGACTTTTTTCATATACTAACTGTTACTCCATTATTCCATGGCGCCTTATCCCACCTCTGATGTTTTGGAGGTCATTGTTTGCTCTGCTCGAACTTTGAATTGCTTTTCAGCTCGAATAAAGTTTGTTATCTCCACATATTGATATACACAATAGTTTGCTCTACGTACAAAAAAATCTTAAACGAGGCAAGTTATTGACAAACAAATTGATGGTACAAGAATATCAACAGTCTCGCGAGTAAATTCCTGATTTCTCAAGTTATATGTTCGATACAATAAACCTCTCAGCAAATATATTCCGTCATTTAGGCAAAGTCTGACTGAGATTTATCATTCTTATTGTTGAGTCATTATTTACACATGGGCTGTATATGGTATTTCTCAATCATGACGTGGAACATGCGGCAGATATATCCGCTCCTCAGGGGATGCTTATTACATCATGACACCTTATCTTACTTATTAATAGTTTACAGGCCTATGATTTCTGTATTTTAAACATGATTAATTTTTGTTCTTCATATTTTATATACCAAAAACTTCGAAATTCATAACTTAGGTGATATAATCTCATTTATACTGAAAAGAAAGAGAAACGCATAATAGCATAATAGCAAAAAATATTTCACTATGTGGCCAAAAATTATGAAAATTGGTCAGATGTGTATTTTGGTTACTGTGCACTTAAATCGCTGGTCAAAATTACTCAACCATGAAATGTATGGTGTCACGTAGGGGAAGTGATAAAAAGCCAAAATACACGTGCATGTTGATGAGGACAATTTTGCTATCACATTTTGTAGTGCCAAGAGATGCATTAGAGTTATAGACATCGTTTTCCGATATTTGCAGTCAGTATAATTTTCTTGCCATCATGGTATGGCTGACGGAAGTTACATTGGGTCTAATAATTGAGTTGCATAAGTGAATAAAAATGCATGTTTGTTTTTAACTTTTCAACCAAAAAACTTTTTTCGGTTGTCAGAGAGTAACTTAAAAAGTTTCCAACCAACCGTGAGGGTGACGTTGACGCGTAACAACGTCACATCAAGATATGGCATTTCATCATGTTGCCTCGGTTATTGTCAAGTCATTATCACTGAAACCGATATTTTTACGGCAGGCAATCCTACTCATATTTTCATACTAATACTGACAGAAATTCTCTGCTCAAATTTGGTACGCAAGCTTGGCAACTTTTATTGATTTTACTCTCACACGTGAACGTACGCGCCGTATGCGTATTGATTTTAGCATGTTCACGCTGTGAAAATGTAGCCAGTGTTTGTCGATACTTCCTTACAACATTCACGTGTACCAAATCAGCTAGATTCTGTAAATTCTATCCTAAATTGAAAATTCATGGGATTCATTGGACAGGGGGATTTGTTGGCTTTGGAATAATACAGCTACTCTCAATCATTAAGACTACCGTCGGAAGACTTGAATGATAATCCTATGAGAAAGATAAATGCTCTGGTGAACTCAATGCACAAGAAAATCAAGGCTGTTACTGATGCGCAAGGGAGTTGATGAGAATTTTTTTTTTAATATTTGGGGGGGGGGGGTATCGACATATCAATTTCAATAACTCAGGACTTTTCAGTCAAATTCACACAAGATTTCGGTTACTTGTTGTTTAAAGTTGAATTAAAATGTTTGATAACAATACTGGAAAACATATTGGAAAAAAAGTTTTAATTTTATTCAAAAGTTTATTATGCGTTTCTTTTTCCTTTCAGTATACATTTACAAAAGTATGGTGGAAGAGATAGGTAACACAACGTATTTATTGTCGACAGCTACCACATTGTTACACAGTTAAACTGTTACTTTTAACACCTTTAAATCTTTTGTCAAAAATATGCACTAAAAATATATTTAGAAACTTAGCTTCGATAAACATGAGGTTTAATGAATTATTCATCACTTGCTAATTTTGTTTAAACATTAACACATAAGTATTTGTGATCACCAACACAAGACTACAAAAATATTTTTTATTATAGTTGAATCTATAAACATCATACATAAGGTCATATGTAACATACAACACAGAGCAATACACCATAACTATTAAATAGTTTGTAGAGAAGAGAATGTATTCTCATTCACTGTTAAATGTAAAACTCCATCACTGAGTCAGCGTAAGAGAAATTAATATCATATAGATGTGTCCTATAGTATTTTCATGATAGCACCAATATCACAACTGGAATGTAGTCGAATTCCTCATTATTAAGGCTGAAATATGAAACAAAAATCAATAAGATTAAAATTACTTTTTTTACACTGTTACTTGAAAACAAAACAAAATAAAGTTTTGTAATGTTTTTTTAATACTGGATAATTACACAATAAATTATCTTTACAGAGTAATGCAATGTATATTTTACAAATGATATGCCTGTTAAGTCAGATTATATAAAGAGTTATACCTTAGCAGTACAGAAGCACTCAGTGCCACACACATCACAAACTCCTGAATCCGCTAACACTCTGGATGTGTAGAATGTGGTGGCCTGGTTTTCTGTAAAAAAAAAAAGCATATTTCAAAAATAAGGAAGATACCAAACCTTATTTTCAGTAACATTTGATATTGCTCTATTTTCATGAATAAAGATTTTAAAGAATATTATAGGTTTTAACTAGGGATGTCAAAATTGTCAATAATTGATATTCGAATATTCGATAGGAGTATTCGAATATATTCGAATATTCGATAAAATAAATACATTTTGCATTATTAAATATAATTTATGTCTTCACTCTCCTATCAAGCAGTATATCTGTTTTATGCCATTACTTTAGAATAAAAACTCTTGTAGAGTTTGGAAAATGCACTCAATTATATATATTTATTTTTAAAATTATTGAGTAGTATACATCCAAAATGTAATGATTGATTTTTGAAAATTCAAAATATTTTTCAATATGTTCCAGATTATATTGATCGTCTTACTAAAGTCTACACTGATAACTCCTACAAATTTATACCAAGCAGAACAATTATCTAATTGTGAAATATTAAAAGCAATTACTTTTTGCTAATTATAATATCTTGATAATGATTTTAAATAATATTTACATAAACAAGAAGTCCGTGTGTTTACTGTAAAACGGGGTCGTTACAACAATACAAGCTGATTGTTAGTACTGGAAACACCTAGTATTATACCACTAATTAAGTGAACAACTTAATAAATTACTCTAATAGATACACTCTTCACACCTTTTAGATAATTAAAGAGGAGTGTTTTTATTTTAATTTTGTACAAACTTGACTCAATTTCTAATGAAAAATTACCAGGTTTTTTTCTCTTTTTAATGCTTGTATACTTAAAAACGAATATTCGAATCACAAATTTATATTCGAATATTTTATGAATAATATTAAGAATATTAATATTCGTTGACATCCCTAGTTTTAACGTGAAAGAAATCTTAAATTTTACGAACTGAAATTATTACTTACTGGGTTCATAATAATCATATAGTCTAATAACAGAGGGCTGCTTCTCTGCTACTTTATCTGTGTTGGCCATGTATACAGAGGCACACTGGGCTCGTCTGTCAAACTAGTAAATAAAGAAATATAATTAATTATTCTCTTGACTTTCTAACAGATACAACAATCGACCAATAATGAAATCAGAAGTCTGGCTTCAAGTTATTTTTCAAAAGGAATAAAGTAAGAGCAGGAAACTAACCTCATCAAAATATAAGGATAATTTTCTATATCCCATCTCATTACGTTTATACATGGGAGCTTTAGATGTATCGAGTGTATCCAAATCAGGGGTCATTCCCGAGGGTATTCCGATATCCATCATAGACATTCCAGAATTGCCTTCTTTCAGCCATCTTGGAAAATATAAAGACATTTACGTTCATACATCTGTAACCTTGACTAAAGAAACACTAATATTTTATATTTTTATAACTATATTGAATTATACCTTCCACAAACTTTCACCGTGAAGCCTTTAGTCGTTTCGTCAGTAAGTGTAACATTGACATCAAAGGAAGACACTTCTATCTCTTCATCAGTATTGAAATATGTAGATATCTACAAAGGCATTGTAAATTAGGTAACACATAAATAATCATTATATATATACAAATCTACTTCTAAATCAATTTTCTACTGTTATGATACATGTATTTCCCCTACCTCTGCTAGTGCTATACCAGAGCCCTCTCCTTTGACTTCAAGCCTTTTAACGCCTACAGGAATCTGAGATGTAACAAATAAAGAAAAGTGAATTCTTTGCAGTGATTCTGTTGACTCTTTTATTACAGAAATTATTACGATGAAGTTTGAAAAGGAAAGATAAAACTTGCGGAGTAAAATTAGGGATATCTTGCATAAACAATTACATTAAAAATATTATTAAGATGATAATTTTATATAAAAATTTATAACATAAAGATTTATTTTGCAATATACGAGTACATACGTCAGCTGTTTGTAGAACAAGAGCATTATCCTGGGTAATTGTGAATTTCTGATTGAATGGTGCCCCTGGAGTTTTGCTGGTCAATGTCACACGCATGTTAAAGTTTGGACTATAAACCATGGTAGCAAATTCTGCCAGTCCTTGGAGAGCGATGATAGTGTCCTACATAAAACAATTTTTGATGAAAAGTAACCAAAATTTCTTAATTTGAAATGCTTTCGTATGCATGAAAATAGCAAAAGTTATGAGTATTTATCATCAAAATATTTCCTGCATTACCATTAGAAAGGAATTAGGTTATGAAACCACAGTTAAATAAACCAACCTGTGTTGATGCAAATCCTCCTTCAGGGTTGCGCTGGGAGGTGATCCACTTGAGAACAGGTAAACCTCCCTCTAAGTCTTTATTGATAGCTAGACTCAGCAGAGCGTAGGCTGTGGTTTCTATGTCCACAGCCTTGGCCTGGTCTTTAGGAGGAGCCCATCCCTTCCACTGAATGCCTGTCTCTGGTTTGGACCAATATTTAAGTCCATCTAATGTAAAAAGATAAAAGTAAGAATATAATGCAGTGTATATTTGTCATGACATACAAAAACATTGAACAATAATAAGATCAAAAGTCCAGTGCAAAATTACAAATCGGAAACAGGTCAAACACGATCACCTAAGACAATCAGGTGTAAGATCATGTGTCATTGAGGAGTAAGCATTCTCTGTCAATTTGTTACATCCGCCATCAAAAAAGTTTTTGTGTCAAAATTGAATTTGAGAACAAAGTATTTGACCGTACCTTTGACAGTGGCTTTAGCATTGAGTTTATTAATCACTTCGCTCACTCTTGGGCTGTTGGTGATCTGAAGAGCGTATCCAACGAGAGCTAATTCGTAAATATCTTCCAGGAGATCTATATCACCTTCCAGGTAAGTCCTGGCCTTCTGTATTGCTCTTCCTGTAAGCTCAGATACCTTCAGTCAAAAAATGATCAATTTGAATTCAATGAAAATGATATACAATACCTTAAATAATTATTTTTAGATAGAATAAATCATTTAAAATTTTCAAAAGATTTAAGGTAAATGTCTTTACTCTCTGATTCATTATAAACATGAATTGTCAAAATGTATTTGATGAACTTACTCCTGGAATGACCTCTGCTTCCTTGAGAGCGATCAGAGTAAAAGCCGTGAGGGCTCTTTCCCCTCCTGCTGAACCACCCTTTGAAAAATAAATATGAAAATAAATATAAAAAAAAAATTGTTAAAATTGCATTGAAATGTATAAAGGAAATAAAGCGTTCTGAGTTCAAACAGTCATTGCGTTTCATCAATGTCTTAAACAAGAACTTTACTTAATATTAATTTTCTCTGATCTTCAAAATTGAAGAAATAATCATCTGGTCTAAAGATTCTTTGAGATCTTTTGTACCTGCATTTCCTTGTGCAATACCCTGCCTGGTTCTCTGAATGTTCCATTTTCATTTTGTTGAGAGATGAGCCAAGTCACGGCTTTCTTTACGACATTCTCATCAATGGTGATGAACCCAGATGCCTGAGAGAACGACTTCACAACAAAAGCAGTCAACCTGTAACATTATCGCCTAAATCACTAATATGTACGTGTATTTTGAATATTTTATATCTTTGTCATGATCTAAAATATTGATACATGTAATTGCATACAAAATAAATTTCATTGATCAGTCATGTTATCCATATAACAGGAAAAAAATTGATCATTTCGATTAACCTACACAGATTCCCAAGGTGTTAGTAGACTCTTACCAAGTGGTGCCTGACTTGTCACTTTTACCAAAAGCACTGTATGACCCATCGTCATGAGAGTATGTCATTTCCCTCTGGTAACCTTATAAACAGAAACAAAAAAATGTAGAACCTTTAACCATGTTACAATGTCTTAAACATTTTTAAATCTTAAAAACTGAAAGTTAAAAGTGGGGACACTTTGCAAACCTACCCTTGATCATGTATTCTTTAGCTTTCTTTTCTAGGTCTGGTGTGAGATTATTTGTTATTGTGAGGTATTTCTGTACAAATATATTAGGAGCAAAGTTCAGCATGTTTTGTTCCCCACATCCATATGGCATCTTCAGAAGCGAATCTAGTCCACTAATTGATGGACCCATCACATCACCTGGGGCAAATAAAAAGAGACTCTCAAAGGTGTCAAAATTATTTCTATTATTATAAATCTATGAAATGTTATTTCTTCATCAAAAAAGTTTTAATTATATCTGAAAGCTTCATTAATAAAATAAGTAAATATTCAATCCACAAACGAGTGTGTTTCATGATGTGGAAACATACCAATTACTGATGCTCTGACACGCCTTGAGCCAGCCACAGTGTTTGCTGGGAAATCTATCGCGACATCTTCTGTGAATGTTCCTGTGGTACCAGTGTTAATCAACACAGGATTGTTAAACTCCTTCTCAACTCCCTCGGGCTGAATGTATTGATTATTACATATTACAGGGTTGAAAATAACTTTTCTTAAAGATTATGATTTTTTTTATTTTATCCGATAAAAATGCATGTAAATTATGATGAAAAAGTAAAATCCTTACCTCCACTTTAAGGTATCTGATGACAGCATCACTAGGACCTGTAGAGATGACGGTGATATTAATCTTTAGATCCCCAGTCTCTGTGGGGATTATGGGGAAATACACGGGGTAGATCTCACCAGCTGACATCTAGAACACAAAAATTACCCAATTACGAAAACAGAGTGTCAACAATCAAAAAGGGCCTTCGTATTGCATCTCTTTGATAAGATATCTTAATGTTAGAGATTTAGCTTTTTTCAGGAATCTCTCAAAGTAAAGACATCCAAGCAGATTGACACTGTAAGCATTCTGATGAATAAATGAAAGAAGGGTGATGGCTACCAACAAAGAACAATCTCTAAAACATTTACATGTACAAACAAAAAAATAATGAATAGGGCACACAACACGGACTCTAGGAAATTTCAGTGGAGGAATCAGGTGTCTTAGAGAAGTAAATTTCCCTGTTGACCTTTCACAACAGTATAAGCCCTATATATTGATCTGGTAGATGGGATATTAGTTGTCAAATTTTTATTTAAAAACAAAAAGGAATAGAAATTGATATCAACCATTGCTAAAAACGTTATAGTTTTAAGTTAAAAAGACTCACGTTAAAAGTACGGCCCACCCTGGCTGAGAATCTGCCTTTCTTGACCTGATTATCCTGTATATAGGTCACCAGGTTCTTGAAGCTTTCATTTTTATCAATGATTACGAGAACCTTAAAATGTAATTCAAAAATCATAATATAATTACATTAAAAGCAAATGAATTTCAATGAATTAAAAAAATTAAAGTATATTGAAATAAATTATTTTGAAATGAATTCCAAAAAGTGGATTACAGTACATAAAACAGTAAATAAGATCATGCCTACCCTAACATCACGTTCCAGGTAGTTAAACACATTGGCCTGGAGGACCACAAGTTCCCCTCGTGTTACAGCGTAGGGCATGGTCAAACTCACAAAGAAGGGCTGGAATACTTTTAGCTACAACCAGTTGATAAATAAATAAATAAATTAATTAATAAATTTATCAGTTTGTATAGTTTTATAAATGTTGTATTGTCTTTAAATTTTGATCTTTTTTATTTTCAGCAACGGATGTAAAGTTTCTCCTAAAGTTGCATTTTACAATATTTTTCGATGAACTTTATACACGTCACTTCTTTATTATAAAATATTACTTACTTAAAAAGTTTAAAATAAAAATAATGAAGGACTATGCAGGCAAAAGGATAACCAGGAGAGTTATTACAACTGTAAAATTTTATTCTTTTCTGAGACCCATAAATTAATCTATAAGGCTGTTTATAGCTAAAAATTGCCGATGTTATAACTTACATTAGCTGGACTAGGGGTTAGTCCTAAACCAGAGTTAGGGTTGACAGCAAATGCTGTAGCGACCCAGGTAGTGATAGTATCAGGTACAGGAACACTAAGTGAAGTCATACCATCAGGGCTGTAAAATTAAAACAATTCAATCGATAGAGAAATATAGAGGGTGTTCGAAGAGTAAAAAATGTAATGCATTTTGAAAATACATATATATCTTGTAACTGAAATTGTAATAAAGATTATCAATTTATATGGAAATTTGGAGAAAATTGAACTTTTAACTTAAGTCTAAGATGCTTAGTTTTGTCCGTCCCACTATAAAATATACACAGTGTTTCAACATTTTATTTGACAACATATCTTTCAAATAAGTGTTGATTTAAATCGTATAAAAGAATGAAAAGCTTTAAGAGTTATTTAAGAAAACAACAAATAATTAGTTCCACTGCTAGGTTTGTAAAACTGAACATACAGTTGGGGTCTTCATTCTACGAACCTAACTCGCGACACTGACGAGACATTACGTACCCTGTGGTTTTATTAAACCAGAGCCAGGTTTCCGGAAATAGCTTTCGAACACGTATTTGTGGTTCTGATGGCGACATTCCCCCAATATTAGTGTTAGCACTTTGTTTTTCAAGAGGACCAGCCATGAAGGCAATAGGAGCACTGTCTTCCATTACCATATCATAATAATATGGTTGAACCCCTGCAAGATACTTGGTTTAGCTTTCGAGTCACGTGACGATACTGGGTATATTTGTCATGCACGTTACTCATGATCATGCAGATGCCCAGGCACTCCATAACAAATCATGCTTATATATATGACATCTTTTAATTTCCTGTCCACTCAATTTTAATAGGATATGTCATGATTATTTCAGATAAAAACACATATTATGCTTTTTTATAAATGATAAACGTTTTTGCGCTGAGGATTGGCGCCTACGTAAAATCGGTTTTACATAACTTCTCTAATCTAATTTTAGATTTGAAAGGAAAATGGGACAATATTTGATTAAACAAGCAACATCATACTCGAATGCAATTCAAATGTGTAAGAATGTTTTCATTGGTATTACAATTAGAGATGATGTTGCAATATCTTTCTTAGGTGGTGTGATTGAAAACCAATTTTATCTGTTTGTATACACTGATCCAGATAAAACGCACCCCCATCAAAAATAAAATAGTAACTGCACAAAAAGCAATATGTAATAAAGATTCTCTGAAAGTTTCATCAAATTTAATTCAGTAGTAAAATGCACTTGTTCTGTAAGGAAAGGTCCACACAAAGACCATATTTCCAATAAAAGTAACAAGCAACTGCACTGCTTAGGTTTTGACATTCTATTTCAAAAAGTTGGCCTTTTTCATATTTCGTATACTATTCCTTGATTTTGTCAGAGGTAGACCTATTGCTGCCTACCCTGTATTGGATATATAACCAATTATTTCATTGGTATTACTATTACAGATGATGTGTCCACTATCGTCTGCATTAAAAGTGATGTGATTGATTTCAAATTCTACTCTATAAAACCACCCCTTACATGACTGTTTGTATAACAATAAGTTAATTCATTTTTAATAAAACGACATTCCAACAACTGTATATGAAAAATCATTGCAACTCGAAAGCAACCACATATATATAACGTTAGTAAAACTGAAAACGCTGTGATTGCTCAGACGAATACATGACACACAGTGGAATCTTTAATATGCAAGACGTTTAAGCTTTCCCGTATACAGTTAGGTAAGAAAATAAAGTGTAAGTTATTGTGTGTACATTACAAAAAACATATTTGAAGCGCATTTATAATTAACAGCATAAAAGAACAAGAAACTCCACTGCTTAGGTTTTGTCGTTTCTATTTGTAAAAAGTTTAGCGCGATTTTTTCCTATTCAAAAGTATTCTAAAATTCCTATGCCAAATTTTGTCAGTATCATGTTTTACCGTATTGAATCTATGACCCGCCTACCGGAAATGGGTATTCCATAGATATTCAAATAGATATCACAGTCATGATACTAAAAGTCACGATTTACGTCTCATCCCTGTCGTCTATTATTACGTATACAAATAGGCGAAAAGTGTCCACTCCTGCCCTTTATGATGCAAATTTGAAAAAAATGAAATTTTCAGATTGTCTGGATTAAAGCAAAGCTCCATCATTTCAAATTCTACATTCTCCTTGAGATACGCCACCCCTTACATGACAAATGAATCATGAACTAACAATAAGTTAATTCATTTTTACTAAGAACTTGACATTCCAACATCGATTCTGTATATGAATAAAAGCTTGCACTGTAACTCGAAAGCAACCACAACGTTAGTAGAGCTGAAAACTCGGTGATTGCTTAAATGTATACATGACACACAATGGGATCTTTTTTGCAAGACTTTTAAGCTTTCTTTCCGTAAGCATTTATTTAAGGAATGATTTAAGTTTAGTGTAAGTTATTGGTGTGTATATTAAACGTACTTCTCACGTAAACATATTTCATTAACTGCATTTATAATTACTAGCACCAAAACGAACCCAATGTTTGAATTTCTCGCTGCCCTATATTGTTGCATTTTTATCAATTACATTCAGAACTTATATAAATCCATGTGACGAATATCTTTAAGAAACAAAGGAGATTTAACAAAATACTAAGGTAAGTTAACATTTCTTTATTTCCTTTTTTTCAAAAAAATGGGATATAAAACCATTTTGATTTTTACGAATACTTTTGGCGGATGAATGTATCTGTGAATGTTTTTAAGTATATCAAATGTAATTTAAATTTGGAAAAAAAAAAAAAAGTTATTAATGTTAGCCTATCATTTAACCTTCCGTTTAGGAAATTTGAACCATTTACTTTCAATTTGGCTCAATGTACAGAGCAATCGATATACGCGCAGATTTATTTTACATGGCTTTCGCGTATGAGGACTAAGTTGTTGATGGTGAATAACAATTTGGATTTATAGGAGTTAAGTTTATATAAAAAAAACCCATACATTTTACCTATAGCAATTCGTATATAAAATATATATTAGTAACAAAAGGGCTTTTTGATATTAGAATATTTTTATTAAAACTAACGTACCCTAAAGTTGAGTTACTCCACAACCAAGTCTCAGGAAAAACTGATCGAACACGTGGCGGTGAGGATTGGTTTGGTGGTCCAGGCGATTGCGGGGAATCCAGAGCAGATTTAAACGATTTATCATTACGCATCATTCCCCCTAATCCACCAAATGCCATCGGCCGTTGATTATAAGTAAAGTCCCCTTTAAAAGTGTGATATAGAAACGATTTGAAGAAAACAATTCATAACGACTTCGCTTTAATCCCCGATTGATAATAATTATAAGCAAAATTTAATTCGAGAAATCGAAAAAGCGGCAATAAAAATGTTTAAGCTGACATTCCAAAAATGATTACAAATTACTGAAGAAATAAAGAGATCAAGGGAGAAAAAGCCTCCACAGGGTAAAAGCATGTAGTCCGATAGCAAACCATTACCAGAGGTTTAGAGAAGAGTTTTTATATAGTACAAAAATTATGAAATTTATTTTTAAATTGTATGAAAATTGCGTATATAATTTAAAACTTTTTGTATAGTACTTTAATAAGAATGACAACATCCGTAGCAATAATTACGGTGTTTTAGATATAAGATAAGGTAATAAGTGTGTCTTGCACAAAAAATAACACAAAAGAAATAGTATGTTATGCTATTCCCTTAATAAGATCAATTGTTTATAAGAACTTGTTTCAGTGCATAAAGTTGTAAAGATAACTGTAGTATTAGAAAGGTCGATTAGTGAAACGAAGGTATATATATTCAATTGCGAAATACAAATATCTTTTACAATAACTTCATCACATAAACGATAATCTTCAGCTTAAAATCAAAGAAAACTGAGTCGTAGAATTTGATTCTACAATTCATGTTATTAGATAATAGAGACCGACAAAAATTTCAGCATAAAATATTTAAACATTACTTCCTGTCTCGGACGAGAATGAAAACAAACCAAGAAACACAACAAAGAAGACAGTATGATGAGGAGTTGAAAACGAAAACGAATATCTGGAATCGAATGACAAAAAAAGATTTGAGACAATCAAATCGACAAAAGAATGCTTGTTGTACTAAACAATATCATCTGGAAATACATCGACAAAGCAGTTAACGTTCTTTGTAATATAGCCTGTGTACAGGATAAATGAATGAATTCCTTTCAATACTCTGTTGCTTTTTTGGAATAATTTACCTGTACATATGAATACTCAAAAATGCTTTCAAACCTCAGTCAAAAAATTTGTAAAACAATGTAGAAATAGCTTATGATTATTTATTGATTTTGTATATTTATATATATGGTGTATGTATGTATGTATGTATGTTGATATTTTGTATAGACAAAAATCTCTCTTTGGAGTCATGGATTTAAATCCAAAACACGAGATATCTTTTTTAAAAGAAAAAAATAGTTAAACTAAAACAGAAATTTTCAAATGAGTATATATAAAATAAAAGGATTCACACATTAGAAAGCTTTTAAATTTTCAATCCTATTTTTATAAAATTACATTTCTAAAAGAACTTTTAGTTTTTCAACTTTGTACCTTTATTTAACAACTTTACTATATGTGAAAACTGGAAAAAAATTTAATATAGGACATATAGAAATAACTAATAGACTAAAATATAAAAGAAAGGGAATAACATTTTCAGATACAAAATATCCTTAAGCTTCATTCCAGTCCCACTGAAAGAAACTAACTAGAATCCCACTGAAGAAAATATAATAAAAGCCACACCTCAGATATGTGCAACCGAAATGACATTTGCCCATAACCTGACAACATAAGACGACTGTACTTAACAGCAAATAATAAAAATACGATCTTGGCATGTTTTTAAACCTACCCTACACTTGAGTTACTCCATAACCAAGTTTCGGGGAACAGTTTTCTAACTCGGAGATTGGATGAATCATTTGATTGGTCCAGAGAAGACCCTGTCGACAAATCATCCCGGGACTGCATCTGTTGTGGCATGCGACCATGAAAAATAATTTGGTCCAGATTTAAGAAAGAATCTCTGATTTC